AGGATCCTAGAAGCAGGAACTTACATGGACCAGGGAGCAGGAACACCTAAGTGTTACCCACGTGAGATAGAATGTGGACATGAGGTCCTGACTCTCTAATAGAATGTTAGGCAGAGACCAAACCCTTCAACACCGGCATCCGGCATTCAGAAAAGCAATGAACACTTCTTACTGTGTAAGCTGTGCAACTGGATGTTTGGCTCCTGCCTAATTTTTTACCCTTATTTGATTCTATTCTCCACCCTTCTCAGCCTGTTCCAGGGATGTTCTGTCCAATTTCAATAAACCAAGAGCTTGACTCCCTCTGGACCACTGCACTTTCTGTTGCTTCTCTGCCCGGAATCTTCTCCTGCTGACTGTTGCTGGCCTGTCTCATCTTTCAAGCCACATCTCATTTCCTCTCAGGAGACTTCTCTATTTGGAACAGTCTCCTCTGATTTCTCTCCAGCAAGTTGTCTTGGTGGATGGTCTTTGTAGCCATGCTTCTCAAACTTTTGGTGCACACTGATCTCTTGGGGATGTTAAAATGCAGGTCTTGACTCAGTAGGTGCAGGGTGAAGTTTGAGACTATGCATTTCCAACAAGCTCCCTGGTTCTGCCTGTGCCTCTGACTACACTCTGAGGAGCCCTGCTCGAGAGCACTTACCCTATCACACTGTTGTCTCAGGAAGCTCTTTGTGTCTGGATGCCTGCATCTCCCCAGCCTGGAAGGACTGCTCACTGAGCCCATCTTGTTCACCTATCGCCCCGGTGCCAGAATGGCATCTTCCTAGTGCGTGCACACACGCGTGCATGTGTTCGTGTGTGTGTATGTGTTAGTCACTCAGTCATGTCCAACTCTTTGCAACCCCATGGACTGTAGCCCACCAGGCTCCTCTGTCCATGGGATCTCATGGACACGAATATCAGAGTGCGTAGCCATTCCCTTCTCCAGGGGATCTTCTCAACCCAGGAATCAAACCGAGGTCTCCAGCATTGCAGGCAGATTCCCTACCATCTGAGCCACCAGGGAAGCCTACCTACTAAATAAATACCTGCTGGATAAGTTCAGAGACTTTAAGTGGGATGAGTGTTATACCAGGGAACGTCCATGGTGCTGTAGAGAGGGACAGGGATGACGTCTTGCTGATATGCAGCACCAGACCTGCGCACAGAAGCAGGTAAGAAACATTTTCCCAATGCTTCCTCTTCTCTGTCCAAAGCTCCCACTGTGTGAGCTCATCTTGACTATTCCAAGCCTTCCACAGTCCAGGTCAAAGATGACCTATCTTACCTGTGTGCGAGTTAGTTGTGTCTGACTCTTGTGACCCCATGGACTGTAGCCCACCAGGCTCCTCTGACCATGGGATTCCCCAGGCAAGAATACTGGAGTGGGTAACCATTTCCTACTCCAGGGGGTCTTCCTAACCCAGGGATCGAACTTGAGGCTCCTGAATTGCAGGCAGATTCTTTACGTCTGAGCCACCAGGGATGAATCTCCCAGGCCCCAGAATGGACGACGTTCCTATGGTAGGAGGCAAGCAATCTGACTGAGACATTTCACACTTGTTTGTAGATGACAAATATACCTTAATAAACCCTCGTGGTACTTTCAATTTGGTTTTTTAATAAAGATGCTTATTAATCTGATTGTTTAGTGCTGTTTTGGCTAGTAGAGTACATATATTTAAGCCCAGGGAAGCCACCAAAAACAAGAAAAAAACTTGCACCTTTTTTTCCTTTCTTACTAGAACTGAACCCACAAATTATCTAAAGCTCAGGGGAAACAGGACTGATAGAGAGAAAGGGGAGATGAGTAATGCTGGAGGTGTGGAGTGATTATCTATATGATCTGTAAGGTGATGACTTCCAAGTTTAGGAGTTGTGGGGGAGGCAGTGTGTGCTCACAGATGTTACAAGTGAGGGTTCTGGAATCCTTTTGTCTACATTCCTGACTGCTGTTCTTTTGCTGTTGTTCAGTCGCTCAGTCGTGACCAACTCTTTGCAACCCCATGGACTGCAGCGCTCCAGGCTTCCCTGTTCTTCACCCTCTCCTGGAGCTTGCTCAAACTCGTGTCCATTGAGTGGGTGATGCCATCCAACCATCTCATCCTCTGTCAGCCCCTTCACCTCCTACTTTCAATCTTTCCCAGCATCAGGGTCTTTTCTAATGAGCTGGTTCCTTGCATCAGGTGGCCAAAGTATTGGAGATTCAGGATCAGTCCTTCCGAAGAATATTCAGGAAATTGACTGGTTTGACCTCCTTGCAGTCCAAGGGACTCTCAAGAGTCTTCTCCAACACCACTGTTCAAAAGCATCACTTCTTCAGTGCTCAGCCTTCTTTATGATCCAACTATCATATCCATACATGACTACTGGAAAAACCATAGCTTTGACTATACAGACCTTTGATGGGAAAGTAATGTCTCTGCTTTTTAATACGCTGTCTAGGTTTGTCATAGTTTTTCCTTCAAGGAGCATGCATCATGCATGCATGCTAAGTCGCTTCAGTCGTGTCTGACTCTATGCTACCCCATGGACAGCAGCCCACCAGGCTCCTCTGTCCATGGGATTCTCCAGGCAAGAATACTGGAGTGGGTTGCCGTTTCCTTCAAGGAGCAAGAGTCTTTTAATTTTGTGGCTGCAGTCACCATATGCAGTGATTTTGGAGCCCAAGAAAATGTAGTCTGTCACTGTTTCCATTGTTTCCCCATCTATTTGCCATGAAGTGATGGGCCCAGATGTTATGATCTTAGTTTTTTGAATGTTGAATTGTAAGCTAGCTTTTTAACTCTCCTCTTTCACCTTCATGAAGAGGCTCTTTAGTTCCTCTTCACTTTCTGCCTTAAGGGTGGTGTCATCTACTTATCTGATATTACTGATATTTCTCCTGGCAATCTTGATTCCAGTGATAACTAGTATATTAAACAGTCTCTTCATTTGTAAAATGGGTCAACAATACATCTATCTCTTGATGTGCTGTGAAGATTAAGGAATAATGAAGGTAAATTGGTGAGCAAAATGCTTGCCACCGAGCAGCAGCTCAAAAATGATAAATATTATGCACATGAACTTCTGATAAAACATGTTGGTGGAAAGGAGAGTAAGAACAGAATCTAAATCAGAGTGATGGTGAACATCGCATGTTAGGTTTGGGGCCACACTTTGGTTAGAAAGTGCAGAATCAGACTATGAAAATAAGGGGTGGTGGCAGAGATGGTCCAAGCTGCAGGAAATTGTAAAGTGTCCACAAGGAATCATCCCTTCATAAACATTCAGATGATTCTCAGATGCTTGAGTATCTAGTCCATACCAGAACAACCTGCTACTTTTCTCACATGACTTGTGATGGCAAATGTTCACCTTCTTACCATTTGTATTCATGTTTATTAATGTGGCATCTCAGCTTTTCAATTCAACACCCCTCTCGCTATGCTGTATTCACTGTCATTCCACAGTCAGCAGAGGACACGGCATGGGCTGCCAGTACTGATGTCAGACCGATCTTAGCAATGAATGCAAGCCTGCCCCCAAACCAGTGGCTCTCAACCCAGGGCAGTTTTGCCTCCTCAGGACTTTGGCAATGTCTGGTTGACGCCACCAAGCAAGGGTGTGGGGCGGAGGATACTATTGGTACCTAGTAGGTAGTAACCAGAGATGCTACGAAACATCCTACAATGCCCAGGGCAAAAAATTATTTGCCTGAAAACAGAAATCTTGCCCTTAAACTTTTCTTTTCTTAACCTTTCTGGTTCTCAATTCCCCTATTAAATTCAGCCACTAAATAATATGCATGATCCGCCAACTCTGACATTCTAGGAGGCTTTTTTCCCCCCAACCTCCAAGAATTTTGCTTCTAAAATTAACCAACAAGGAGTGGTTCAGACAGACTTTTCTTTTACCTACAGAGGCCAATCCAGTCTGCTATAGCTTTTCTGTGGCCTCAGCTGTAGCATTTCATCAACAGCTTCTTAGTTGGTGATGCAGTGGGGGTGGTGGGACAAGTCTTAAGAGAAACCTACACCCAAAGTGAGCAGGAATTTCTCATTCATGGTTCATGATGAGCTTTCCCTGTTTCTCAAAACCAGTTTGGTTTGACGAGGATCACCCTGTTGATACTAGTCCACCCTATGAAACTGACAGGCCCACACACCTTTGGTGAAAGAATGTGTTTCTTACCCATTATCTGAGAACCTGTGAGCTACTTAATATATATACTGATGGAGGATTTCTGGCACATGCTTATCTGAACAAAGGCCAATTATATTCCAAGAACTAGCAAAGGAATGCATTAATTGATTTAAGCAATTAAAGTCCCTACCACAAATAGACAACAAATGCCACCAACACAGATGAAAGAACACCATCCAGGGACCTCAACAAGGCACTAAAAAATCTAATCAGTGACAACTTTTGAAAGGCCAGTTCAAAACACGTAATCCTTTTGGACATCAAGGGAACCTTCTCAATCTGGCAAAATAGTTACATAGTAAAGGTCATGGGGCTTTCTCAGCCACAGAAAGGAGAGAAGTAAAAGCAATTAGACAAAATGGATGCTGTAATCCCACTTTCCAGATCCCAGAGCCACACTAAACACTGAGATTCAACTTTTCCACTTCACTATTCAGGATCTGGCAGCACTTCCCAAATGAGAATGCCATAGCTTGATTTCTTTCTTACCAGTTCTGGCTGGATGTTTCTTAGCCATGTCTAGAGCCTGGGGTAGAGAAAGAAAAATTTTAAAAAATCACTAAACCATTGATGTTGCTATAAATTGATCAAGTAATTTGGAATTCCAAAGTACTATTGCTGAAAACTGCCCTGTTGAAACTACTCCCCAGCAGAAGTAAAACATCCAGATTCATGGACTGCCACTTCCCAATCAGGTGGAAATCCACTGAGTAATAGCATCAGTACCACTTGGAGGCTCTTTTTTACAAGCAGGTTCTCAGACTCAACCCCAGACCTACAGGATCAGAATCTGCATCCACAGTAAAATTTGAAAAAGAATGCTCTGCAGGGCCTTCAGGAGTAGTTTATTTTTTGCCTTCCCTCAGCCTGAGTTTCCCCAATTGGAATATGGAAATATAACAAAGTGCATACAAAGAGAAAAACAACAACAACGGAAGGAAGACAGTTCACAGGAGTGCGGGGGACTTTGGGGGAACTTCTCCAAGTTCTACACTGTGCAGTTTTTAACAATGTAAGATCAGGGTTACTTCTTTTGTAATGGGGGAAAAAATTTTTAAATACAGCTGACGCTCTCTCAAAGTATTGTACTGATTTTTAAACGGACCAATGTAGCAGGGCCCAGCACCATACTGCAATGCAGATTAAGTCGGAGGTGTTAAGTGAACTGGATGGAGCCAGCCTGCACCCGTGCACCCGGTGAGCAGCCCTCGTCTCCGAAAATTGGCCCTCATACATTCGCTCTCAGCACCTGGAAACCTTGGCCTGGCAAACTTCGGGATCCGCTGAACCTCGGATCTGACCCGTAGTTGCTGGAGCGTCCCGCCGACTCTGTAACTTTCCCTGGAATGAAATAAATAAATAAAGACCGTAAGTGCTGAAATAGCGGACCCCATACTAATCTCTCTACAGGAAAGAGGAGGCCGGGGAGTGGAGTCAAAAGTCGCAGTCTGGCCCGGACAGGGTTCCAGGGAAACTAGTTTGAGCGGCTGCAGCATCCTCAGCGGCTAACTCAGTGAGCTTTCTAGGCTGTCATTTTGTCTCCTGTACCGAAAACTGCAAGTGAGAGAGGAGTGGAGTTTCCCGAGAGAAGGGCTCAGACTGGCGTCCTGGGCGGGCCAGTCCCCTTGGCGAGCTTCTGGGTCTTCCCTCTTTCCTCCGCCTCCCTCCGTCCCTCCCTCCCTCTCTCTCTCTCTCTCTCTCTCTCTCCTCCCTTCCTCCTCCCTTTTGCGTCGGGCGGGCGGGAGGCCGCCGAGGCAGAATGTTCTTGCGCACGCGCTCGCGCAATTACGGCCGAGGAGTTCTGTTCCTCGGGCATTTTCCGAGGAAGTCTGGAGCAATTAGGCTCAGTCCGGGGAGAGCCAGCGAGCGAGCGGGCGGCGCTGCCGGCGCGTCTGGGCTGCCTCGCAGGGAGGGAGGGGGCGGCCGGCCGCCCGGCGGCGACCCCGGGCCCCGGCCGCCACCATGGGCTTCGAGCTGGACCGCTTCGACGGCGACGTGGACCCGGACCTGAAGTGCGCTCTGTGCCACAAGGTCCTGGAGGACCCGCTGACCACGCCGTGCGGCCACGTCTTCTGCGCCGGCTGCGTGCTGCCCTGGGTGGTGCAGGAGGGCAGCTGCCCGGCGCGCTGCCGCGGTCGCCTCTCGGCCAAGGAGCTCAACCACGTCCTGCCGCTCAAGCGCCTCATCCTCAAGCTGGACATCAAGTGCGCGCACGCGGCGCGCGGCTGCGGCCGGGTGGTCAAGCTGCAACAGCTGCCCGAGCACCTCGAGCGCTGCGACTTCGCGCCCGCGCGCTGCCGCCACGCGGGCTGCGGCCAGGTGCTGCTGCGGCGAGACGTGGAGGCGCACATGCGCGACGCGTGCGACGCCCGGCCGGTGGGCCGCTGCCAGGAGGGCTGCGGGCTGCCCCTGACGCACGGCGAGCAGCGCGCTGGCGGCCACTACTGCTGCGCGCGGGCCCTGCGGGCGCACAACGCCGCGCTGCAGGCCCGCCTGGGCGCGCTGCACAAGGCGCTCAAGAAGGAGGCGCTGCGGGCCGGCAAGCGCGAGAAGTCCCTGGTGGCGCAGCTGGCCGCCGCGCAGCTGGAGCTGCAGATGACCGCTCTGCGCTACCAGAAGAAGTTCACCGAGTACAGCGCGCGCCTTGACTCGCTGAGCCGCTGCGTGGCCGCGCCGCCCGGCGGCAAGGTAGGCGCCCGCCGCCCGCCCCGACCCCCTACTGGCCCCGGGGCGCCTCCCAGCCTCTGTGGTCTTGGGGTTACCGGGAGCATCTCTGCCTCCCACTTCTAACACTCCTTGCTAGATAGATCGCTTTGAGCCGGTCGGGGAGTCAGTCTCACCTTGGGAACTGTTGCCCTTATAGATTAAACTCAGGCTGAATTATAGATGCAGCAGCTTCATCGGTTCTGGAAAAACTAAAAGGAATTCGAGAGCAGCGCAGAGTTAAGGGCGAGTGTGGCTCTTGAGTCAGAACCCCGCAGGGGCTTTGGTGCAGACCAGATGGATGATCATGAGCAAGTCGTTTAACCTCTTTGAAGGTTGGGAAACAGGGTTCCTCTACACGTGACGGAGGAGATAAGATACTGACACAGGAGATGTTAACTATATCCATGCACCCTCAGGCGGCCCGGAAAGAATCAAAGGAACCCACAGCCCAGCCTTGGAGACTAGGTTAGCAAGGTTGCCAGAGGAGAGGCCGCTGGAGTAAAAGCTGGATTCCAGTGTGAGCTTTGCTGCCAACTGGCTGGCTGACCTTGAGCAAGCTGCTTAAGCTCTCTCAAGTTGGAAAGTAGGGCCCTAGAGATGTGACACAGGGGGTGAAACACTGCCAGGCCCCTCCTGTGGTATTCCTCCAGGGATTGAAAGAATTCCAGAAAGAATTAAAGGAACCGCCACCAAATATAAAGTAATAATTGGCAATGAGGCCTCTGGAGTTAGAACTGTTTTTCGAGTCTGGGCTCTTGGCTAATGTTGTGGCTTGATCTCCAGGTGCTTCAGTCTCTCTAAATGTAGAATAGATTCTTTGCCTGCTTCAGGGAGAGAACATATGAAAAGGATCTAGCAAGTTGCCCTGTAGAGAGCAAATGCTCAACAAGTGTTGCCTGTAATTATCTTTACCTCCTCCCCTTGTAAGCCATCCCCCTGTCCTGGGAGTTGGTGTAATTACAACAGCCACTACTGCTGGAGGCTTGCCTTGCTCCAGGCCCTATGCTAAGCTCTTGTGCTTCTCAGCTGTTTCCTTTTTAATCAAGGGAGGCAGGTTGCTTCTCGTTTTGCAGACGAAGAGAACTCAGGACCAGTGAGGGGCAGCCCTGGCCCTGAGTCATGGCTTCGAGGTGGCAGAACTGGGTTCTGAACCCACGGATGCCCAGGCTCTTAACCCCCATCGTGTCGCTTCTCAGTGTAACCACAAGTACCATTTACTGAGGGTTTATTATGTACCAGCCACAGTAGCAAGCACTCTGCATGCGTTCTGTATGTAGTCTTCTGAGATGAGGAAGCAGGCGCAAGTCCCAGAACTTGTCCAGAGTCAAACGGTGACTCAGGAGACAGAGCTAGGATTGAGGATCCACCTCAGTCGTCAGCCTTGGGCATTTTGACATTTTGGACCCCCAACTTCTTTGCTATAGGAGGCCGTCCTGTGCGCTGAGAGGCCTCCTTAGCACACTGGATTCCAGTAGCACCCCCCACCCCCAGGTGTGACCACCAGAAATGTCTGCGTGTGTTGTCACGTATTCCCTGAGGGGACACAGTCCCCTAAGAGAACCAGGGTTTGCCATGATTGCAGAGGCCACCTTTTCACCAGCTGGTGAGGCACCTGGGCCATGCTGGTGCCTCTCTGGTCGCCTGTTGCAGGGGAGGAGAATGTGTGTGCCTGAGGGTCCCCAGGGGCCTGCGTCTGCTTTGCCTCTCTGGCCCCTCTCCCCAGCCCCCTCTCCCATAGCGCACACCGACTCCCCCCTCTCCCCTCCACCTCGTCTTGGCACCCCCCCCCTCCAGGCTTGTCTGTCAGCTGCAGCCCCAGCAGCTGGCCGGCTCTCTGCGAAGGGCAAATATTTACAGCTCTGAGGCTCACCCAGGACCGCACAGGCGTACAAAAGACTGGAGTGAGCCTGCAAGTCCCCAAAGCAGGGGGCCAAGCTCTGTCTACAAGCAGGCGCCGGGCTTGGGGTGAAGGAGTTCCCGGAGTTTCTCCTGTTTATGCTGTCATCTGGACTTCCTGTGGAGTTTTAAGTGATGCTTATTTATAAACAAGCCCTTCACTTCCCCGGAGTTTATACATCATTCATTGTTAAGCTGGTTTATTATTTCTTCTTGCCTTTCTGTTTTCTTTCTGGAGTGTTTGGGTAAACTCCCTCTCTCGGAATCAAAAATATGATACTTGAATCAAAATTGTGGATGTTTTTGAAGTTCTGTTGGGTGAGTCAGGAGGATAATCAGGGGCATTAAGCTTGGGGACAAGATGTTGCTTTCTGAGCTTACAGACAAAAGTTTCCTTCTGGAGTTGGAGCGTTGCTCAGGACTTTCATGGACCTTAGTGCTGGCTTGAGAACAGCCAAGAAAGGCCTGGCCTGAAAGCTGAACTCATTTTTCAGGCCTCCAACCCTGGCTGTCTCAGCCCAGGCCTTAGGGGAAAGCGTGCTGCTTTTGCCTTAAAGTTAACCCCTAGTCACCCTTGGGGAGAGCTTTTGCTGTTCCTGCATCTGCCAGACAGACCCCCCTCCCACTGCAAGCTGTTTAAGAACTTGTTTATTTCATTGGCGGGACTCTCTGCTCCCACGGGGTACTGTTTATTCTCTTCTATAAGGCAGAAGGATTTATATTCCTTGGAAACGGGCATGTACAACACTTTTATTTTTTTTTTTTAAAGTCCTATCGCTTACCTCTCTGTTAAGAGCTAAAGTAGATAAGAAACACTCAGAAGATTTTCCATACCCCTCTTCAGGGCTTTAGAACTTGTACCATAAAATGATCTGGCATTATTTAAATAATCTTAGATTGCAATTTTTGATATCCGCTGAACAGAGGAGTCTGGCAGGCTATAGTCCATGGGGTCGCAAAGAGTGGGATACCGCTGAGCAACAAACACTTAACCATTCAGGGTTTGAAGCTAGGGTTTCTTCTGCTCTGAAAGGTGAGTTGGAACAGGTCTTCTCAAACCTTCATATGATTGGAATCACCTGGAGATGAAACAAGAGATTCCTGAATATCACCCTTGGAGATTCTGCTCCAACAGGGGCTGGTATGGGGTGTGAGGTTCTGGTAAGTTCCCAGCTAATGCTGGACCACCTAGCACATTTTGGGTAACTGCTCAGCTAGAAAGAGAGTTTAGGCTCAAGTAGAGACGTAGACCAACATGTGTTCTTTTTCTTCACACAGTTATGATTTTACTGATCATTGTCTAAACATCTCTTCCTGAGTATTTTATGAAGGACCAGTGCATAGTTCTCAAACTCAGAGCACCTAGCAGTTGTATGATAGGTAACATGACCCAGAAAGGCATCTTGAACCAATCTGCAGCCCTATCTGGGCTACAGCAGACTTGGTGAAACTATACTTGAAGATGTTAAAGAGTTTGGCTCCCAGCCTCAGTTTCCCACCCTGACTTACCACCTGATTCTAAGAACAAAGGCATTCCACAGCAAAAAAAAAAAAAAAATCTTTGACTTTCTGGGAAAGGGAAGGTTCTGGGCATAACTTTCCTTGGAATTTTTGAGAACCTTGAGACTGAGCCTCAGTAGCATCTGCTCTTTTACCCCCACATCCAGTCTTTCATTAAACCTGGTTGATTTTACTTCCTGAATCTCTTCACTACTCTCCAGCCCCATCAGATCATCGCTTTGGTCCAAACCAGGATTTCCTGACCTCAGCCCTGTTAGCATCTTGAGCTGAATAATTCTTGGTAGTGCATGTGTGTGTGTGTGTTGTGTGCATTACAGGATGGGGAGCAGCATCCCTGGCCTCTGCCTGCTAGATGCCAGGAGCAATTCCCACATTGTGACAATCACAGATATCTCCAGGCACTGTCATTGTCCCCTGTGGGACATAAATCAGCCCTGGTCTCAACCCCCATCACCTCTTACCTAGACCACAGCTGTTCCCTCTCTGTATCTTCTTGCTTCCTCCCAGTGACCTCGAGCTGGGAATCATCTCTTAGAAATGTAAGTCTGATACCCTGCCCAGTCACGAAGTCATGTTTGACTCTGCAACGCCATGAACTATGTAGCCCACCAGGCTCCTCTTCCCTGGGGTTCTCCAGGCAAGAATACTGGAAGGGGTTGCCATTTCCTCTTCTACGAGATCTTCCCGACCCAGGGATCAAACCCACATCTCCTGCATCGGCCGGTGGATGCTTTACCACTGTGCCACCTGGGAACTTAAACCCTGCTGGGCCTTGAGTTTCTCTTGAATGGATGTAAGGTGAAGCACACTCTGGATCCTGCCTGCCTGTACTCTGCTTTCCTTCCCAGGTTCTGTCGTCTCTGGGAATAGATCCATGTGCTCCTTCCTGCCCCTGGGCCTTTGCACTTGCTCTCTTTTCCCCTAGGAATAGTCTTTCCAGGTGCTCATCACTAGGTAACCTAGGTAACCAGCAGGTTTTCCAACTCTTCACCTTCTACCCCTTGCCTTTCTGTCGGCAGTTAGGGTTTGCGCTTGACTAGATAACCTTTCTGTCCTCCCACCATCATTACTTGCAGAAAGCCCTCGCTCTCTGGCTTGACAGACTAGAGCTGGTACCCTGAGACCCTCACTTTGGTGCTCCACCTGCATGGCCTTCTTCACTGCTGTAACTGAATAACGGGAAGAGCTGTTCGTTGTCTGTGAGGGACGATAAAGGAAGGACCACATGTGCATTCTTCAGGGCTGTGTCCCGGCACCAGTTCGGTTACCAGGTGCCCTGTGAGCTCGCGATATATTTTCAGTGAATAAACTCAAGATCGAAAGGGCTGTCTTGTCAGCCGTCAAAACTTTTCAGATTGCTGACCAAGAGTGAGCTTGTTAGCTCACTCTTAAAAAAGAATGAGTTTTTCCTTGACCTGCAAGTGAGCAAAATTGTTTCCAGGTTTGTGGGAGGCATGCTTTTTGTTTCCCTGAGATCTACCCAGATCAAATTGTATAAAGCCCCAAATCCCAGAAACGATTTTGTCCGTTTCAGAACTCCTGGAGATAAATGAATCTATAATAGACAGTTGTATGGAAAGGTGTTCCAGATGTCCAAACACTTTGAAATGTATCTATCAGAGTGTTCATAGTTCAGTGTCTTTTCTGTTTCTGAAAAGCCATCAGGAGAATGACTGTTCCGCAGTGTCCCAGTTCAGCTAAAAGAAGTTGTGGGCTGTTGCATCCATTTCGTTTCATTGATATATAAAGAAAACTAGGATTCAGCTTACAGATGTGTTTCCCAGCTACACTGGCTCAAATGATCATAACTGAATAATAGAAACCGGGAATTCTGTTCCCGTCTATCTGTCAGTGGTTCTTTCTGAGTTCAGAAATGGTGTTTGCTTCTTTGTAAAAATATTTGATGAGAGAGCATCTATTTATAAGCTGGTTTGTGTTGGCTGTAGACACAGAGCTTAAAAGGAAGAGGAATAACATTCACTGAGTTTTACTGGGTGCCATACACTTAGAGTGCATTGTATATATACAC